CTGGTTCTTCATGCCTTTTTTCATGTTTTTCTTCTTTAACCACTCCCTTTTCAGTAATACAGAATACATAGGGACCCGGGGAATTTGAGAAGTTGCGATCGGTAAGGTCTTCCAAGAATGATATTCCCAGCTTTTTTCCTGCAGCTGCAAGATCAGTGACTGTTTCCTGTCTCTTGACAACGACTGTGGAACTGTAGATATAATTAAGTATTTCGGTAAACACTTCAGCTTTGAGATCGTCCAGCTCCAGGACGTGGCTGGAAATACAGATTGTATGGCTCCAAAAGATATTTTTAAAATACAGGCTTGAAGCTGCCAGAACATTGCTGTGGGCTTTAAATTTGGTATCTTCCACAATGATAGTGACATCGCATAAAATGCCCCGAATGCGCTGCTCATTTAAGATGGAGAGCACCGTGTCACTGTGAAAGTCGTCCTTGAGGTCCCTGGAAAGGGACATGACTGTCATCTGAAACAAGAGGAGAGAAATGGTTAGAGACTCTTCCACAGGTGGCTTCTTTATCTCTAGACTATTTTCCACTTCTGTGAAAAACTGTTCTTTTGTATGAAACTTCAGGTTTTTATCTCTCTGTTGATGCTCCCAAGGCTCAAGAGTCAACATTAGAAGCTAAATCTTTTTCTTGCCCCAGCCTGTTTCTCATACCATTGCTAATAGTTGTTATCATTGGAAATCCTCCCAGAACTCCTTCCCCTTTACTCCAAAGTTGGAGCTATATATACATGTCCAAATTTGGGAGGGGAGGAGGTTTTATTTTACTTTATTTTTTCTGAAATGTTAAGGGTCTCATCATCACTCAAGGCTGCTGCTTTGAACTACTAGAGCTGGGCAATTCCATGGTCCTGCCACAAGCTTCCTGCCTATTTTCAAAGAGGACTCTGATGATCCAGTCATAACCATGAAGCAGGAAAATGATTTATTTTTTTTTTTGAGACAAAGTCTCACTCTGTCACCCAGGCTGGAGTGCAGTGTCACAGTCTCTGCTCACTGTAACCTCCACTTCCCAGACTCAAGCTATTCTCTCACCTCAGCTTCCTGAGTAGCTGGGACCACAGGTGCAAGCCACCACGCCCGGCTAATTTTTGTATTGTTGGTAGAGATGGGGTTTCGCCATGTTGCCCAGGCTATTTTTTTAAATGAATTTTCCTTAAGTGGTACCTATATGCAAAGCTATTGCCCACTCAGAGAAGCAGCAAGAACTGAAGGAGCCCTTCCTGGTTTGTGGCTCAGAAGGGTCTCTCTCTCTAGAGTTGCAGGATGTGTAATCGAGTCTGACCACCAGGGGCACCCTGCCTTTCTGCGCTATTGGCCCTGCGGGGACTCATCAGGTTCCTTTTCTAGTTTCCCCTTTAGTAGAGACAAAGTAGACTAGGGCTTTCAAAAAGAACTGTCGGGTACTGAAGGCAAATACAAAGGAGATAAAACGTAAAACCAGGAAAGGACATTTCTAAATCCTTTGACAAGAATGGACAAGAATGAATCTAGTCATAGGTTCCTGAATTAGCACAACTTCAAGGCACAGTGGCTCTTGTTCTGGTCTGAGGATCCCATCTCTATTCTTCTCTGTATTTGCTATATTCTCTATATAAGTCCTACTCCATGAGCTTGGGGTGCTAGAGTTTACTAACTGATATTTTAGTGAGGGGCAGTGAAAAGCAGCAGCTTTCGTACTTCCCACAGTAAGAGACAGTGACCTATCTCTTACGATCTCTGTCACAGTACATAGTGACCTAAGACACAAATGAAATTAACACTCACCCTTACTAGGTGTGATGCATTCTGTTCTGCTCTAGTACTTTGAGATGGAGTCTTGCTCTGTCGCCAGGCTGGAGTGCAGTAGCATGATCTCAGATCACTGCAGCCTCTGGCTCCAGAGTTCAAGCAAATTCTCCTGCCTCGGCCTCCCAAGTAACTGGGACTACAGGCACATGCCACCATGCCCAGCTAATTTTTGTATTTTTAGTAGAGACGGGGTTTCACCATGTTGGCCAAGATGGTCTCGATCTCTTGACCTTGTGATCTGCCCGCCTTGGCCTCCCAAAGTGCTGGGATTACAGGCGTGAGCCACCATACCCAGCCTTTTCTTTTAAAGAATGCTTACAGCAACTCACTAATTTCACTACCCACTAATAGATCACCACATGCAGTTAAAAGTAAAGCAAAACAAACAAACAAAACACACACCAAAAAAACCCCTCTGGTCTAGAGAACATACTAACCAGCTATTCATCCAGTCTCTCCATGCTATTCTGTATTAAGTGACGTCTCCAGAAAGCCTTACAGTTTGATGATACAACTTTAACTCAGTGGCAATGCTTTCCTGGCACTAAAGTATAACATTTAGCTCATGGCATTTATTTAGTTGGATGGACCAGATGGCCACACAAAGAACCTCTCTTTACCTTTTTGTAAAGCTGCTATTATAAGCTGTGACTATTATGTTATTTAATGTCCTTTATACAAGGATCCATCTGACAAATTCTTTTTTTTTTTTTTGAGACGGAGTCTCGCTCTGTCGCCCAGGCTGGAGTGCAGTGGCCGGATCTCAGCTCACTGCAAACTCTGCCTCCCGGGTTTAAGCCATTCTCCTGCCTCAGCCTCCTGAGTAGCTGGGACTACAGGCACCCGCCACCTCGCCCAGCTAGTTTTTTGTATTTTTAGTAGAGACGGGGTTTCACTGTGTTAGCCAGGATGGTCTCGATCTCCTGACCTCGTGATCCACCCGTCTCGGCCTCCCAAAGTGCTGGGATTACAGGCTTGAGCCACCGCGCCCGGCCGACAAATTCTTTTATAGTATCCAGTCATAGGAAAAAAGTACCTTTCTATTAACAAATTCTTCAATTCAGATAATGAGAACACTATATTCACCATGTTTCTGTTTTAATTCTCAAGACAAAGAAGCTCAGAACTAACTTTTATCATCAATTGTTGTAGCTATTCTTGGCCTGGGTTTCTGGTGTGCCTATTGTTTCATTTTCTTTAACATTAGTTCTTCTGCTCTTGTCTACCCTGCCTTTAACTGTAATCTTCTATGAATCTTTTCCAGAAGTATGGGGGATTATTTCTACAAATAAAACTAGAATGAAATGAAATGGAATCTTATGACTTCCTCTTTGCCCCTGAAGGGGAGAAAGGGTCACCCCGGAGTGAAGGAGTCTGTCCTTCACCGGGTCACAGATCGATAGCATACTATGCTGATGTTTCTTTTGCCTTCTTTGAAGTCTCTCTGCTCTGGGCCCCTGTAGGATCTCCTTTCTCCCCTGACGCATATATTTTTATCATGTTTGGCTTCTCAGAAGCCCACACATTATTTTAATACTTTATCAGCCTGACTAGATAGCTTCAGATCTGAAAAGACACATGCTCTATGATTCAGAAAGGTGGCTTAGGTCTATGCTGACATCATCTATTTTGTCCTTCCAATTCAAAACTACTGCTTCTTCCAAAACATTCTGCTTCACAGCATCCTGAATCTCCCTTTAGGCTCTGCTTCCATTTGGGGAATACGGCATTTCACATTGGGCTAATGAACACTCTAGGGTGTCCTGACTCAGATTTATAATATACAAAGCCCCAGCCACTTCTGTGGGATTCTGATTCTTCTCTCAGATTGTTCAGCTAGGATGGTCAGCAAAAGGCTGTGTTACTTTTAACACAGAATAATACCGTAGTCATACTTAACAGAACAACATATACAATAAGTATCATTATATATGTCATTAAAATATTGTCATAACTTTGCAAAATCAAAGCATGACATTTTTCAGGGGGGATATCTACCTTTGTGTGGCAGAAATCCTTTAAAAATCATAGTTACTAAGTAGCACCTTGACTTGCCTTCTTGACACACCTTCTAACAACTTTATTCAGTAAATATGTTAATATGGTCAGACATAGTACTTGGGTGCTAGAGATATACTGGAGATATGAACAGGAGGAAGGCAAGTCGCTGATCTCAAGGACCCCAGAGTCTAGGGGAAGAAAGAGAACTGTCAACTAATCATTGGAATCCATGAGGGCAGGCCATATACTGGAGATAAGTATAAAATGTTAGAAGAGTAAGTAAAATTATTTACAGAGGCCCTGGATTACTTCTATAAATAAGTAAAACAGGGGTATAGGAAGGATTCTGTAAGGAGAAGGAACACTATAGGCAAAATAAATTAAAAATGATCAAAGCGGATACTGTTCTCAGGGGCTGATGAGGGAGCCTGAGTGGTGGCAGGAGTGGTGTGTGCAGCCCAGTCGACAGTGTCTATATGGGGTCAGGCACATGGCAGGCCTCAGCATGTATCTGTTGAATGAGACGGCCTGGGAAAGAAGGGTCAGACCAGATCATAAAGGGTCCTAAAGGACTCTCTACAGTTAAATTTTATATAGAAGTGAATAGGGAACCATTGAGAGTCATGAGATCTGAGCTAAGAAAGTGGGATGAGGTGGGTGAGGCGTGGTGGCTCATGCCTGTAATCCTAGCACTTTGGTAGGCCAAGGCGGGTGGATCACCTGAGGTCGGGAGTTCATGATCAGCCTCACCAACATGGTGAAAACCCGTCTCTACTAAAAATACAAAATTAGCCAGGCCTGGTGGCACATGCCTGTAATCCCAGCTACTTGGGAGGCTGAGACAGGAGAATTGCTTGAACCCGGGAGGCAGAGGTTGTGGTGAGCCAAGATTGCACCATTGCACTCCAGCCTGGGCAACAAGAGCGAAAATCCGTCTCAAAAAAAAAAAAAAAAAAAAAAAAGAGAGAGAGAGAGAGAGAAAGTGGGATGGGGTGTTGGAGGTGGTGATGGCATCTGAATTCAAAATTTACTTTAATTCTCTTAACAAACATTTACTGAACAATTGCTAGGCAGAAGGCATCAGCTAAGTGCTATAGAAACACAAGCAATCAATCAGCTGGGCATGGTGGCATGCACCTGTAGTCCCAGCTACTCAGGAGGCTGAGGCAGAAGAATTGCTTGAACCCAGGAGGCAGAGGTTGCAGTGAGCCAAGATTGCACCACTGCACTCTAGCCTGGGCAACAGAGCGAGACTCCATCTCAAAAAAAAAAAAAGGACAAGTGTTCATTCCTCCTTTGAACGAATGCTTACTGAATACCTATTATGTGCTTTGAGACAGTGGTTCCTAAACCTGGTTAGGCATCAAAATCACCTGAGAGGTATTCAGATATTACAGCTTTACAGATTCCATCTCCCCTGCTCCTACAGAGATTCTGGTTTAGAACAGCTGGGGTGAGACCCTGGAATCTGTATGTATTTTTACACCTTAATTTCTTTTGTGAATAAGTAATAAATTCATATGATATCAAATTGAAAAAGCATACAGAGTAAACATTGGAAAGTCTCCTTCCCACCTTGTTCCAGAGGAGCACCTTATTTCAGGTAGTTTTTAATCAACCAGCCAGAACTATTTCTAAGGGCTGAAATCAAAACTTGGTGCCATAAGAGAAACAAAAATTCTACCCTCAAAGGTTTGCAGGGTGGCAGGGGAACTAAGATGTGCTCATGAAACACTGCAAAAAAAAAAACAAAACAGAAATTCAGGGAACATCCAGGATCAGGCATGCAGGGAAAAGGTATGGGAGTCAACAGAGAGTAAGGGAGGCAGAAGGGGGAGGCTGAGAAACTCCCTGAAGGAGGAAGTGGCATGTACCGGATTCTGCTGCTGGAATTAAGCACTGCAGATATGGACAAGAGGAGAAAAGGCAACTTCAGGCAGAAAGAGACAGAGTCAGAATTTCATGCCCTCAAGAAGTTTATAATCCAGGAGTCAACGCACTTGCTTAAAACAGAGTCTGAATCTGCAAATGGAACTTGAAAAAAAGCAGTGAAACTTGTTGGAGAAGCAATTTAAAGTTAAGACTCTATATCCACCTCTCCAATCTTAACAGTGACCACTCCCAAAACCACCAAGTGTTGTCAAAACTGTCTTCAGAGCACATTTATCCAGCTCATTGGATGATCTCAGAAAGTGCTACGGATAAAAGCCATATTCCACAGGTCCAAAGTGCAACAAGGAAATCAGTTCTAAATCTGCAGACCAGAGGAGGCCCACTGTAAGCCACACAGCAAATCTGGTCCCCACAGGTTTTGTTTGACCCGTGTGATTTTTAAAACCATATTTTTGAAAATCTTACTTAACCATGTTGAAAAACTCTAACATAAAAATCAATGTAGCCGGCTGGGCGAGGTGGCTCACGCCTGTAATCCCAGCACTTTGGGAGGCCGAGGCAGGCGGATCGCTTGAGATCAGGAGTTCAAGACTAGCCTGGCCAACATGGTGAAACCCCATCTCTATTAAAAATACAAAACTTAGCCAGGCGTGGTGGTGGGTGCCTGTAGTCCCAGCTACTCAGGAGGCTGAGGAGGAGAATCGTTTGAACCCAGGAGGCAGAGGTTGCAGTGAGCCAAAATCATACCACTGCACTCCAGCCTGGGTGACAGAGCAAGACTCTGTCTCAAAAAAAAAAAAAAAAAAAAAAAATTCAATATAGCTTTTTTGAAAAACAGGAAGACCAGGCCACACTGGGGTTGTAGCCTGCCTGGCAAAAAGGACTGGTGCCAAGTGGCTGTGTCCCCAACACACACACTGCCTGCCCAAGGATTTATCACCAGGCAGCTTCTCTCAGTAATGTGGCCGCCTGACCTCTTCGGCAGGTTAGGTTTGTGTGACTGATAAGAACAGTAAGTAAAATAACATTGGACCCACTTAGACATACTTACTTGAAGGATATCCCCAGGATGAAAATTTAGACTTTAAAAGAGCTCATGTGGGAGGGGGAAAGTCATTTTCACCAAAAACAGTATTCTTTGACTTTACTTTAAAGCAACCTCCTCCACTACATTTCTTCACGAAGAGTAACTTAAAACAGAAGTCTTAGGAGCTCCTGCCAATGGAAAGCCCCAACAGATTTCAGAAAAAGAAATGTAAGTTAGAAAGAAGATGAGGTTTAATTTACATGTAACTTTCTAAAATATTTTCTAAAAAGCAAGTTTTGTGCAATAAATTCACCGAGATGGAATAGATAAGCATAAAAAGGCTAACAAAAATATTCTAGATATAAAAATTTGGGTAAGTCAATATTTTTAAAAACATAAAGTAATTTGTAATTGGATAACTGGCCACCTGACTTTAATGTCACTATTTTCCTGAGTTTGCATTTTAGCTGGAATAGCTTTTAAAATATATTTTTATGTTCTTTTTTTTTTTGAGACGGCGTCTCACTCTGTTGCCCAGGCTGGAGTGCAGTGGCGCGATCTTGGCTCACTCAACCTCTGCCTCCAGGGTTCAAGCTTTTCTTCTGCCACAGCCTCCCAAGTAGCTGGGATTACAGGTGTGTGCCACCATGCCGGGCTAATTTTTGTATTTTTAGTAGAGACAGCGTTTCACCATGTTGGCCAGGCTGGTCTTGAACTCCTGACCTTGTAATCTGCCCACTTCGGTCTCCCCAAGTGCTGGGATTACAGGCGTGAGCCACTGTGCCTGGCCTAAAATATATTTTTAAAATGTATAGTACACATATGTATACAGCCACATGTGTGTGCAAATACAAGCATGCATATATAAATACATGGACATATATTATATTTAAATACATTTTATAAGCACAGATATAGAAATAGGATGAACATATAATTCAGCATCCACAACAGGACACTTGAGAGAGAAAGGAGGTACAACTAATGCCAGGAAAACAGGTATACATTGGGATTGTACCTCAAAAAATCAGGATGAATGGTCATCCAGTATTTTATATATAAACAAAATATAAATCTCTATATACATTATTTTACTTTTGTTATCTTTTTTCTTTTTTAAGACAGGGTCTTGCTCTGCCACGCAGGCTGGAGTGCCATCAGACGGCAGTGGTGCTGTCATGGCTCATTACAACCTTGAACTCCTGGGTTTGAGTGATCCTTCCACCTCCGCTTTCCCCCATCCCCCAACAGTAGCTGGGACTACAGGCGTGTGCCACCATCCTTGGACAGTTTCTAAATTTTTTGTTAGAGATGGGGTCCCACTATGTTGCCCAGGCTGGTCTCAAATCCTGGGCTCAAGTGATCCTCCCACCTTGGCCTCAAAAAATGCTTGGATTACAGGCCTGAGCCACCACAGCCAGCCTGTATAAATTAAATAAAAAATTATATATCATACTTATAAGGACATTTGTGTATATTTACATAAAGTATATTGTACAAATATTTAAAGTACTTTAAAGAATTATATAAATATATGATAAACATATTTTATAATTAGACTTTATATAAATGCCACTGGGAAATTCTAGTAAATTAGCATATTTGGAATTTTCAGTTTTTATCTCCTGCTATGCTTCAGCCTTATATAATTAAAAACATATACACATAATGTAAACAGAGGCACTTAAGATACTTTTGATGACTGAAATGAACTTTCTTCACTTGCTTTTTAGAATTTCCTAGCTTTAGAAAAAGAAAATGAATCTATGTTCATGGTCAAAGACTGAAACAGCACAGATATGCATTAAGGTAAAAAGTAGAAGTCCTCTTCTCCATCCTAGCCTCCCCACTCCCTACATCCATACTCCCCCCTCCCCCCAACACACACACAGCACACACTCTCCCTTGTCATGGGTCCCTTTTCTTATAACTTTGGACGACTTCTACATTCTGCCTGAATAAAGCCTTAGGAGAGAAACTGTATTTCCTCTTAAGATTATCCTTCTCAGGCCGGGTGTGGTGGCTTATGCCTGTAATCCCAGCACTTTGGGAGGCCGAGGTGGGTGGATCACGAGGTCAGGAGATCGAGACCATCCTGGCTAACACGGTGAAACCCTGTCTCTACTAAAAATACAAAAAATTAGCCGGGGGCGGTGGCACACGCCTGTAGTTCCAGCTACTCAGGAGGCTAAGGCAGGAGAACGGCGTGAACCCGGGAGGTGGAGCTTGCAGTGAGCCGAGATCGCGCCACTGCACTCCAGTCTGGGAGACACAGCGAGACTCCTTCTCAAAAAAAAAAAAAATAAATAAAAAGATTATCCTTCTCTCCCAGTCCCTAGTTCCCCTGCCTGGCAATCCTCGCTTGTTCATGTCTCAGTTGATGTCTTATCTGGATAGCCTTGCTCCTCCAGAATTTCTAGTTTTTGGTTTCCCATCATTACAATGTATGGTATCATGCATTTGTTCACATTTATATCTTCCCTATGAGCTCCTTGAGAACAGGGACAATCTGATTCATCTTTGTACTCTCTGCACCTGTAGGCATGACAAGCCGTTGCTGGTGATGTTGAGAGTGAGCAGAGGGGAACTTGCCCTAGAGAGCAGCCTCGAGAAAGTGCCTTCGAGTTCTAAGAATGTAGGATTGCTTCACTCTTCTCTCTGCAATCTCTTAAAGATTTACTAATAAAAACACACTTTTAGGAAATTATCACTTGTCAAGTTTTGGTGTAGTATCAAAGAATATCCATAATTAGCTGAAAAGGCTATTAAAAAATTCCTTCCCTTTCCAACTACCTATTTGTGAGAAGCTGGATTTCCTTTACATACTTCCACTAAAACAGCGTGCCACAGCTGAAGGCAGGAGCACACATGAAAATCAAGCTCTCTTTCTATTAAGCCAGACTTTAAAATATTTGCAAACATGTAAAACAGTACTAGTCCTCTTACTATTTTTTTTTTAGAAAATAGTTACTTTTAATAAAATGTTATTTTATCATTCCGTTGGATTTATCACAGTCATTTTCCATCAGTTAATAAATACTAGGTAGGTACAATTAAAAATAGTGGCAAAAACTGCAATTCCCTTTGCATCAATCTAATAGTTCTTTCAATTCTTATTTAAAATGTTGAATATGGTAAATATTGATAGAAAGAACTCAAATAAAAAAAGCTCTTTGCATACCCAATGATTGTAAGAGTGTAAGGGAGTCTAGGGACCAAAAAATTTGAGAACTGCTGTGCTAACCAAAACCAAAATAAAAAAAAGTCAAAACAAATTTAATTAAAAATCTTAATTAAATAATTTTCTAAGAAATTATTTAAAAATAATTTTACTCAATAAAA